AAGAAATGCTCTCAGGGATCCCGCTGCATGTCTGCACAAACTGAGGGGGTAGGTCCCAAGCCGCACAGTACTGCCCGGCTAGAACAGGCTCCCAATTTGAGAACAGAAAAAGAAAACAAACAAACAATTCAAAACAAACAAAAAAAAGTGCTGGGATCCCACCAGTGTGGCAGCATGGGCTGAGAGTAGTCCAACATTCGAGCGGCATTTCACAGCCTTTCAGGAAGAAGCAAAGATGGTGCACAGAGCCAGGTATTTGAGAGAAAGTAGGGGGAGGTGGTGAGAGGTAAGGAAGAAATCTAAAGAGTGGAAAAAAGCAACACCAGCAGCCAACAAATGGCACTTAGGGAGCTGGCCAGTGCAGGTGGGTGGAATCCAAGCAACACCAGGGTAAAGCCTATGCTTCCCGGCCAAGAGACTGTGTCCGCAGGAAGCAGAGGAGGCCGAGTGGGGGTGAAGTGTGGGGGGTGGGAAAGCGTATATCGCCAGTTACCGGTTGTTCTGTCTCCTGCTGGAAGCTCTGTGAAGGTGTTTTCTCATACCCCTGTTCGCTGGTCTCTGATAGGCATCCCAGATGGCAGATCCGTGCTGTGTTAGCTGATAGGGGACCTCTGCACATATCTCTCCTCACTCTCTCTTCTGTCAGTTTCTTATTCCATTCAGTCCTTGGCTGAGTTCTTTATCCCTTCATTTGATGCTTAGGGTTTCAGGATTGACGTTTTCTCTGTTTGGCTTAGTGTTTCAGATCTTTGCTATGGAGGGACAGCGTGGTGCTTCTGCCTATAGCACGATGTTGCCCGGAAGTCCCAACATTTTCTTTATGTACTATGTTATGCCACTTAACCTAGATGTCCCGAGACCATGGTCTCCAGCCCTCAGTCCCAGCAACTGTCCTACGAGGTGTTTGGTTGTGTCTAGGAAGCTTTTATGACTGACCCGTGTGCTCTACTATATATATATATATATGAATATACAGGCTGCACATACAAATATGTATGTAAAAATATCTACAACATAACCTATATATGTACATGGTGTAGTCCTATACTCCCTCCTACCCCTATTCAGCATACATATCTAAGTATATATCTTCTTGTGAAGTATGGTTTTTGCTGTTATTGCTGTACCGAGTTCTTAAGGATAACAGTCTTACATTAAGCACGCAATAGCATTTAACCTTTATCGTGGATATACAATAAGGTAAGCATAAAATTTTGTTTGTATTACACTTTTAAAAACATGATGTTGTGAATTAGGAAGCTCTTTTGCATGTGACTGGGTCAAATTTTAAACTGTAAATATTTATAAAAATAATGGAAATTTTGCTGGCTGTAAATGAAGTATTGATGATGCTTCCAGTGGTGGAAAATGGCCGTGACCATTCAGGACTTATGTGTGAGTGCAGGGAAGAAGCTGAAAACTCCCTAAAGAAGAAGATGAAAACGTAGCCAGGGCCACATCATTTAAGTTGGAAGATGAGGACAAAGATGCTGCTGACAGGGGAGGTTCTGTAGGAAGCTGGGGATTCCAAGAGGCTGACTTTTTTTAAGATGACGAAGCAATGAAAGCTGACAGTGAGGAGGATGTTGAACCCTATGACCATGAAAATGAAAATGCTGTCGAATCTAGTGTTGGGACAAATACAGGCTGGGCAGATGCCATGGCTAAAATTCTTTTTTTTTAATGGTGCTTTAAGTGAAAGTTTACAGTTCAAGTTAGTTTCTCATACCAAAATTTATACACACACTATTATGTGACCCTAGTTGCTCTCCCTATAATGTGACAGCATACTCCTCCTTTCCACCTCAGACTTCCCGTGTCCATTCAACCAGCTCCTGACCCTCTCTACCTTCTCATCTCAGCTGCCCATTTAGTCTCATGTATCTACCTGAGTTAAAAAGCACTCTCTTCACGAGTATCATTTTATGTCTTACAGTCCAGTCTAATCTATGTCTGAAGAGTTGGCTTCAAGAATGGTTTTAGTTCTGGGCTAACAGAGAGTCTGGGGGCCATGTCTTCTAGGGTTCCTCCGGTCTCAGTCAGACCATTAAGTCTGTTTTTTTTACTAGAATTTGAGTTCTGCACCCCACTTTTCTCCTGCTCTGTCAGGGCATGGCTAAAATTCTTAACAAAAAAACTCCTAAAAGGAAACCCACCATTCTGATGAAAAACAAACAGCTGGAAAAGAAGAAAAGTTAAAGCAAGAGAGATTAGAGAAAGGACAACAGCTTGATAAGGATCAGGAGTAGAAAATGTGCAGAGTAAAGCCAGATGTTGTCAAAGACAAAGAAACAGAGAAATCTTGGGATAAATGCAATCAGGGGTGTGGTGCAATTAGTTAATGTTGTTCAGAAGCAACAAAAGAATGCTGATGAAAAAGTTAAAGAACCTGGAGGCTCGATTAGAAAGCATGCTAAGTTGATATCAACTATTTCTAAGAAAGATTTCATCAGTGTTCTTAGAAGAACGGGTGAAGTACAAATGAGATAAGTTCTACTAGGAAGAACTCTAAAGCCAAACAGACTGAAGTGAAATCAGAAGAGACTCCAGGATGGAATATCCTACATGATGATTTCATGATGGGAGAATCTATGAAAGACTGGGACAAGGAAAGTGATGAGTTAGATAACAGTTGACCAGGATTCAAAACTGAATCAGACACATGAAGTTACATAGGAAAGAAAATTTGTAAACATTGTCTTTTTCCTAGAAAAATACTTCATCCTCTGAAAGTTGAGGACCTATAAGGATGCCATTTATAAGAAAACCAAATAGATTTTAACTTTTATCAACTTTGGTGTCTCCCTTTCTCACATTAAACTTTGTTAAAATTATGTTTTGAAACTTGTATAGTTTTTAGCACTGTTCCTCCAAACATTTTGTAAAAGTAAATATATCTACTTGACCAAAATATCAAAAAAATATTCTGCCAGTATCATAACAGGTTTACATATTGGTCATGAGTATTGGTGTATTGTTTTAGTTATCACCAATGTTTCTAGAAATGGCAGTACAAATTCATAATTAATGTGAACTCTTTGAAGTTAAAAAAATAAACAAAGTATTGCTATTCTACACAATGGGATGTGAGAGTGTTTGACCTTAATTAAAAATTTTGGAGTAGACTTTTAAGGACTGTTTCTATACGTATCATAGAGTTTAGAAGCAGCCATCATGTTTAACTTGAATAACTGATCAGTTTGAATAAGCACATGGTTATGAACTTGGTAGGTTCTCTGGCAGCTTGTTACTTTTGCTGTTTTAGGGGAAGGTCAATTTCTTAAAGGATGTCAGAGCTAACATATTATACACAAAAAATTTAAAAAGTGGAAAAATATCTCCTAATTTTTTTTTAAAACCTTTTGTTTGTATGAGTGTTTAACACTTTGATTCACAAATGTAAAAAGTATGTGCATATAAAGATGTCTACTTTATGAATGTCACATATCTCAAAAGATAAAATATATGAAGAATACCTACTTTTTATCTATTAAGTGGAAGTAAAAAAAGAAAATAAATTTCATAAACAGAAATGAAGAAACAGATTTTTTATGTCTAAGATGTATTCCACATATGCTTTTATTAGATCAAAGTTTATTCCATATAACAAAATAGTCATACTATGTTTAATTACACACTCTTAAAGAAAACAGTGAAAAAAAGTTAACATACACCTTAGCTAACCATCAATAACAGCAGTTTTGACAGTATTAGTCCGTAAGGGGAGCAGTAAAGATTTGGTTTCTATACAGTCAAAGCAATTACACTGATTAAACCATAAAGATGAATAACTTATAAAGAATCCATTATTCAAGCATTTGCATATATCACTTAATTTTTGTTTTAACAGTTTTTTAGTATATTGAATTCAAACCTGTAGTTTTTTGAATTAAGAAATAAAGTCTTTGCTCTTAATTATTTGTAATCAAAATGATCTAAACTGTGTTACAACTCAAATAGTAAAGGCAGCTGTAATGAGTACCTGAGGGAGATTTCGAAAGCATTCCTCCCTAAGAGTTAACAGAATTATTAGAAATAGTTTTTCCTAATAATTGTTTTAAAAAGGAAAAGAAAAAAAAATGATATTGATATAATTATAAACCACTAAACCATTATGAGACCATATTCCAAACATTTTTCCCCTGAAGGATGTTGTTGTTTTGTGCCATCGAGTCGTTTCCGACTCATAGTGATTCTATAGGACAGAGTAGAACTGCCTTGTAGGGGTTCCTAGTCTGAAATTTTTATGGGAGCAGGTCACCAGGTCTTTTCTCCTGCAGAGCCACTGGTGAGTTTGAATTGCTGACGTTTTGTTTGGCAGCACTGTGCTTAACCCATGCGCCACCAGGGTTCCTCCTTGAAGAATAACTCTCTGCAATCAAGACAATCTGTTTTATCTTACTTGGAAATGCTACTGATTGCTACTGACTGGTTGGAGTAATGTGTTTAGGAAACACGACAAAGTTCAGAAGTAAAGTGTGCTGTAAGGGATGATCTATTTGTGCAATGGGAGTAGGACAGAACGAGTGGTGTACCCATGCTGAGGATTTGCTAAACCTATCTTTATAATCTCAGAACTATTTTATAAATTAATTTTCTACCACAGGGGTTCAAATGTACAACATAGACAATGTGAAAATTCCTCTGTAGTAGATATTTCTCTACCAAAATTTCAATAAATATGGTACTAGGTATGTTAGTTAGGTATGACATATTTAGAGTTTATCCCTAAAATATCATATAGTGGCTAACTGCATAAAAGAAAAAAAAATCCACAGGCTATATTTGTATGATTGATCCAATAAAAATGCTTGGTTGTATCAAAATTTCATCATAGTGGTTTATTCTTAAAATTTCCCCTGGAAAGCAATCAGGTTATTACTAGAATACTAATTTCCTGTGGCCTGATCATTCTCTGAGAAATGGCAAATTCTTAAATTATAAATAACTTTAACTAATATTAATGTGTCTGTTTTAAAAAGCATACTTTTTACTTCAAAATCATTGTTAAAAAATAAATTTTATCATTTGACGGGCCATTTTAAGATAAATTCCAGTGTTAATTTGTTTCTTAACAAATGTCTTTGTACTATAAAAATCTGTGTTATTGTTTAGCATTATTCTATTGCTTCTCTTTTAGAATTAAATATCTAAGAAATAACATTTATGTACTAACATATATATTAGATTCTTACTGTAGTTACAAATATTAACTATAATAAGAGTGCATTTTGTTATTCTCTAGTTTTAACAGTAGAGTTAAGAAATTCATTTTTAGCATAAAGGTGATGAATTTGTCACCATATGACAAACAATTATTGATAGGTTTTTTAACCTGATCAGTACTATGTGAGTAAAAAGTTTTAAAATGTAGATATCAGGGTATACAAAAATTTAAAGTATTGTCTTATAAATGAAATATTATTTTTATCATTATTACATGTTAAACTTAAGCAAAGGCCAAATTCTAGAGTGAATTTAACTTTGACACAAAAGAACTTTCAGTTCCATGTTACTAAAATCTAAAATGGTGAGTATATTTTTTTCATTATTTTTGGTAAAGCAACTTAAAATATTGTAAGAAAAGAAATCCAATCCAAAGATAGTATCAACTTTTTCTTCTGTATCTAACAGTTGGTGTCTGATTAACATTAAATTTAAAGACATAAATACAGTTAAAGACTGACAAGGTAACCTATAAAAGATAACTGAGTATTTGGGGCATTATAGCTTCATAATTGTGACAAAAATTAAGCTTTCCTCATAATTGAGAAGCAATCGTTAATCTGTATGAAAGTACTTTCCACAGCTTTTAAAATCTGGATTTCAGCAGAGTAAGGCAGAAACATGAAACATGCAAACCACCTAGCATCCTATTATAGGTAACCAAAAGTCTTCAAATGATGACATACATTGTGCTGCAGAAAGCAGGCCTTCCTAACATAGTATGGTTCACAGTAAGGCTGAAGGTATACAATTATGTTATTCTTAAGTTCATCACTGTTGGAGATTTATCAGAGTCTGAACACTAGTACAGTGAAGATGACTGGCACATTGAAAAAACAATTAGAAACAAAACATGTACACTATCACAAAATCATTAGCTCTTTTAGGCGTTTTTTCTTAAACAGGTATACCAAATAGACACGCAATCCTACTTCTTTGGGCCCAGGATGCAAGTAGGATTTAACTGTAACACAGGCATTCATCCACTGTGAAATCAAAACTAAACTGCCATCAAAGCAGATTTTCAATTTCAGTCAGAAATGCAGCAAATTATGCCACAGGGAATGTCGTCTGCACTCTTCTCTCAGATATTTTCTCAGTGCAGCATTGTGAAGGGTGGCAATGACAATATTACTATTTCTTTAAAAAAGTACAAATTATTTTTATTAAAGATTACAGTACAGTGCATACTGACTCTGACAGGTTTCTTTCCATAACTCAAAACAAAAGGCATTTATTGAAATTAGGTTCTTTCAATAATGATTAAACTTTAATCAATGCATTAAGACCAGGTGACTGGTGATCTGATGCATATGTTGCTCTTTCCTTACTGTATTTTTCAGACCACTTGCGAGTTAGTTCTAGATAAAGACCTGGTTTATGAGGCCGGTAATCCAGGTAGACAGTACTACTAGTTCTTTTGGGAACAGCTTTTTCAATCTGGGTTCCTTCATGCCACTCATTAAAAGAAGTGACAGAAATTAAACTGGGACGGGTCTGAAGGGCAGCACTCAGAGCAGTTTCATAATACTTCCCGTTCACTCGGTTCCGAGTGTTGTGCGTGTTCCACGGACGGATGCTGGTGTCGATATATCCCGGGCCCACACTTGGAATAAATAGTAAGTTGTAGTTATCACAAAAGACTTTTAGGCTAGCCCAGTTTTGATGTGATGAACCATAAGTAAAGCCATTTGTGGCAAAATATGTGTAAATTCCATCAAAACCACTGTGAAGAATTTCAAATTTATGTTTTTCTTCAACTAGGAGTGCAATAAACAATCCATCATAAGGAGAATTGCGAATACTCTGAGACCCCGAGGTGGTTAACAGATTGGCCCATTTTTCAGGCTTTACAATATAAGAATCATAGACATAAAACATAGGAAGAGCGTTGCCGGTCCTAGTCTTGTACCTGTAAAAGGCCGGATGATTCCCATATCTAAAACACAAACGTATGTAAAAGCAAAATGAATATTCACAACTCACCTGCCATAGACAAAAGCTGTTTATGGTATGGAAAATGAAGGTAATCAGTACAGTTTAAGCACACTGTTCACCTTCTTTGGGGAATCTGTTATATAAGTGTAACCATTAAAAATGAATTTTTAATTTCACATTGGAAAATGAGATACTGGGTACATCAAGACATTACAAACAAATTAATTATCTCATGTTGAGGTTTACAAATGATGACTAATGCCATAAAAAGCCCATTATTTTCTATATGAATACATAAACTACTTTCTGTATCAGTAATAAATGTTCCATTATTGCCGACAAGTTTCTTTGCAAAAGTACAGCATCTGTCACAAACTATTATCAGTAAAATCCTTTCACAAAATGAAACTATACTAATAAATTATTCCCTTGTAATCAGACTACAGATAAATAAAAATATTGAATGTGAGTCCAGTGCTATAAAAGCAGCTCACATTTCATACTCTGAAGCTTCGTTTTAAAAGACAAAAACCAACATACATAAAATTTAAAGAAATATTATTTTAAAATGTCATTATGACAAAAAATCATAAAGAGCCTATTTAATATGCAAAACGGTAAACGAACAGCGATCTTTAACTATTCATAGAGAAAATGAACTGTAAGGATTTCAGAAATGTTCTCCCAAATGTTTGTGACATTCATTACAAAACAGTGTAAATTTATTGTATTAAATATGGTAGATCATAAATCATTAAAATCTTTCAAATATAATTTAAATATACTTTTCTTATAACAATAATAATCATTACATCATACAATAGTAATTATAAACACAAAAGAAACTTACTTGTCTATAATGTATTTGACATTTTTATACATGTTTTCATCATCTCGATTGCTATATGGCTCTATGTGAAATGTGACCTGAAACAAAAACAAAGTAAAAAAATTGCTTAGATGAAAATTTGTATAATGTAAATATAAAAATGAAAGTATATCTGATATTTTTATAAAGTGACTGATTTAATAACCTTAATTTCAAATACATACTTATTGAGCATTTAAGTTATCAGAGAATTCTAATAGTAATAACATTAAAAACTTCCTTTGCTAAATAATATACTAAAGATTTTATACTATTATCTCAATCTTCACAACAACTCTATAAGGTAGTTACTATTACTATCTCCATTTTCTAAATGAGGCAATTAAAGCTAAGATAGGTACAGTAATTTTCCCAAAGTCATCCAGCTAGGTGGAGACAATACAGGTAATATGAATTCAGAGTCCAAATACTGTGCAATACTTCCTGTATGCTTATCTTTCTTAAAAAGAAAAAGGTAAAACAAAACATGGTGTAGAAAAATTTGGATTTTTTTTCAGTAAGTTTACATTTAAATGGAGTCAATAACAAATCTCTTTAAATGACAAGTTCTTCTATATCATTAAAATAACAATTTACAAAAAAAATCTGCATCTGTACTACAGTAAAACCTGTGAAAGCTGAAACCAGTCTAAGGCAGAAACCTGTCAGACAAGGAAAACGCAAATATTTTCCACTAATAGAGAGCAATAGAAAACTGGTAAGACTGCACCCTGTCAAAGGCCGAAATTTGTGAGACTTGGAAAAGCAAGGCAGTCCCACTGAGTTCCGGCTCCCACAAGTTTCAACGTATAACCAAAAGAACTCATAACAAATATACAGAAAAAATAATATCCACTACTGTTATGAAGGACGGAAACCCTGGTGGCGTAGTGGTTAAGAGCTAGTGGTTAAGAGCTACGGCTGCTAACCAAAAGGTCAGCAGTTCAAATCTACCAGGCGCTCTTTGGAAACTCTATGGGGCAGTTTTACTCTTGTCATATAGGGTTGCTATGAGTCGGAATCAACTCGAGGGCAACAGGTTTGGTTGGTTTTCTTTTTTAATTATAAAGGGCAATAATTTTCAAAATGCTAAAGTTACTTATATAATGGTTCTACTGTAATAGCAGAAAACAGGATAAGAAATATTTTTTAAATTCTGTGCATAGATTTAATTTTTTTAACTATAAAAAGGTTAGTTATACATACATCAAGTAAAATTATTTATGGTTAGTAAAACCATTTTGTATGCACTTCTAACAAGTAATGTAGATTGTGCAGATAGTATTTTCCTTACATGACAATCTCTTTAATATTTGTAAGAATATAAGGATTTTCACCCTTCTTCCTACTTTTACTGACTTACCAACAGCAATAAAAAATATTTACGACTGAAACTGTTTTGTTCTCAATTACCCAATTAAGTAAAATGTATTTTACATTAATCAGTTCTATTAGTTATCAAAGAATCAATTTTAAAGTCAGATAGCACTTAGTGAAAATATCATTGTCTACTTTCAATAAAATGAGATATGGTAATATTGCACGTAGGAAGTTTTTGTCAGTAACAAAGTAGGGTCAAATTCATTTCTGCAGTATATTATTAGCATTGCCAGGGTGGTTAGACTTTTCAGTAGTCCTGGTATTTGGTTTTTAGCTGCAAATGAAAGAAAGACTGGCAAGGGTATAGCTACTTTCATTCTCTTATATAATGTCAGCTTGGGTTATTCTTCCTTTAGATGCAACACTGTATTTTCTGTTTCCATTTTATATATAAAGGATACCATATTTAAGAAAAAAAGTTCTATTTTAAATGAAATTTAAAGCTGCAAATTATAAATGGCATGCTTCTTTTGTAAAGTGAAGATCAGTATATTTGCAGTAAATGCAAAAAGCCCTTATTGATAAATATACAATATTTTACCATTTTTCCTCAGATATTTCTAACTGTACTAAAATTACTTTGCAGATTTAATCAATCTTGTGATTTAGTCACTGTCTTTCTCTTCCTTTTGAAAAATCTATTACATCAATATTAAAATAAGTTTAAAAATGAGAGGATACTATACATAAAATTAAACACTGTATTATTTTTAGATTAGTGAATGAGATCATATCAAGAGTCCCCCACTTGATGCCTATAGTGCTAACCTTGTCAGTTTCTTTTTCACACTGAAGCCAAAATGAAAGTTTTTGCTTATCATGCGTTTCTTTCGCCTACACCTCCACTCTGCACCTTCACCCCTGCCTATGTACCACCCTGCCACAACAAGAATGAGGTAAGTCCTTCTATGCCTATAGGGTGCCATAATTCTTTGTACTTTTCTCTTCCCACAATTACTTGCTTTAGTCTCTGAACTCCAGTAGACTGCAAGGTCCCTCAAGAATAGAGACAATATCTTCTTTTTTTTATTCTTGTGAAAATATATATAGCACAACATTTGCCATTTCAACATTGTTCAGGTATACGATTTATTGGTATCAATTAAATTAATCATGTTGTGCAACCACTACCTATAATCTTTGCCAGCTCTTGCATCACCATTAACTAACACTCACTGCTTCTTAAACAACAGCTCCCCCTTTCCCTCTCTATCCTGATCCTGGTAGCAACTGATAAACTTTGGTTGCTATATATTTGCTTAATTCTGTTATTTCATATAAGTGAGATCATATAATCTTTTCCTTATTTTGCCTAACATGAGGTTTTCAAGATTCAGTCATGTTGTAGCACGGATTGGGACTTCATTTCTCCTTATAGCTGAATAATAAATAGTCCATTGTATGCATAAAGGCAGTCCCCAGGTTACAAATGTGCAACTTACGTACAACTCGTAGTTATGAACCAATCCCCTAAATCCTAATATATTAAAAATTTGAGGTACACACAATGGTTCGTAATAACAAACAGGCACTACTTTGTGAAGTGCATCAAAACATTATTACTGTATTATTATGTTAAAGATGTTTTAGCGTATCTGGAAATGTTCCTTTAATGTTTTATATGCAAAGAAAGGTACACTATATGCTATATAGTAAGACAAATATTTGACTACTGATGTTAGAGACGAACCACACCTAACTTTTCTGATTCACGTACAAATTCGACTTAAAGACAGATTTAGGCAAGGAACTCCTTCGTAATCTGGAGACTGCCTGTGTACCACATTTTGCTTATCCATTCATCTGCTGATGGACACTTTGGTTTCCACCTTTTAGCTGGAGTGAAGAGTGCTGCAATGAACACTGGTGTACATGTGTCTCTTCATGTTGCTACTTTCAGATCTCGTGGAGATACCTAGGAGTGGAACTGCAGGGTCATATGGTAGTTTTAGAGGAGCCCTGGTGGCACAGAGGTTAAGCACTCAGCTGCTAATCAAAAGGCCACCAGTTTGAACCTACCAGCGATTCCACAGGAAGAGAGATGTGGCAGTTTGCTTCCGTAAAGACTATAGCCTTGGAAACCCTATGGGACATCTCTACCCTGTCCTATAGGGTCACTATGAGTTGGAATAGACTCCTCAGCAACTGGCTTGGATGATAGCCCTATGTTTAATTTTTTGAGGAACCACCAAACTGTTTTCTACAGTGGCTGTACCATTTCACATTCTCACCTGCAGTAGCTAAGTGTTCCAATTTCTCCACATTCTCCACAATGCTTTTTATTTTCCTTTTTTAAAAATCTTAGCCATCCTAGTGGGAATGAAGTGATTATCTCATTGTAGTTTTGATTTGCATTTCTCTAATGGCTAATGGGAGCCCTGGTAGTGCAGTGGTTAAGAACTTGGCTGCTAACCAAAAGGTCAACAGTTCAAATCTACCAGCCACTCCTTGGAAACCCTATGGAGCAGTTCTACTCTGTCCTACAGGGTTGCTATGAGTTGGAATTGAGGCACTGGCAACAGGCAATGGCTAATGACGTTGAACATTTTTTCATGTGCTTGTTGATCATTTGAATATCTGCTTTGGTGAAATGTCTGTTCAAGTCCTTCGCCCGTTTTTTTTTTTTTTTCTTTTTTTTTTCTATTGTATCTTATTCTTCTTAAAATTTCCAGCATCTGGAATAGTGTCTGATATATAGCAGACACTGAATGAGTGAATGTATGAATGAATAAATAAATGATTTCCATGCAAACTTGAACAACAGTCAAATGTAACTTTAGGTCATCCACTGATACCTCATTTTGGTAATATTCATCAGGTTTTCACCATAAATTCACACTATTCATTTAGGAGCAAGAAGGGGAAAAAGAGAAGTCACAGAAAGTATATGTTTCACATGGAGCTGAAAAGTCATTTAAAAAAGAGAACTGTGGATGTACTACATGCAATAGTTGTACCTGGTCTAAAATCTACTGCAGTCTGAGAAGCAGACATAAAGATGACTCTAGGGCCATAGGCCAAATAAACAACGGATGCTGATAAACCAATAGTATGATTTGTGAGATGCATAAGGTAGACATAAAACCCTTGCTACTTTTAAGGAACATAATAAATTTATTAACCTGCAAGAAAACCACCAGTGAGTGAATGGGTTCTTTCCCCTACAATCTTGAGCAAAGGCAAAGAATCCCTGGATCTGCCTGACTCTGTTTTACCTAGACAGCTGTTTTGATTCAGTTAGGTTTTAACATGACGATGATGCATAACAAACAATTTCACATCTCAGTGACTTTAAAGAAAAAACGTTTGCTTCTTGCACATAGCTCTGTGGACTGGCTGTGATGACAAGCACTGCATTATTACATTATTAGGCAATATTATCATATTCATATACCAGATAACGAAACTGAGGCAAAAAGAACGTAAGTCATTGTCCAAAGTGTCATAGCTGGTACGTGGTAGGGCAAAAATTCCCACACAGGCATTCTTAATTCACCACTTGGCTACACTGTGCTTATAAACTATCTTTTAATCTAGCTCAAAGGGCATATCATTGACTTGGTTTAATGAGGTAATCTGAAACAATATGCCAGTAGGAAAAAACTAAGACAAAACATTATCTATGACAGGCACTTCTTAATATTGAGGAAAAAATAGAAAAAAAAAAAAAAAAAAGGAA